CCCTGGCTCTGGGGGGGTGCCCAGCTCTCCAGTTTGCAGTAGACGGTGTTGGAGTTCTTGCACCGGCACCCGGGCCTCAGCGCGCGGTCGTAGAGGCCCTGCGCGGCGCGGAGGCAGGCCTTTACGGGCGGGTAGCAGAGCAGGCAGGGGAACAGAACCGCCATCAGGCCCATGCACAGGAACCGCGAGCAGCAGTGGGCGCGCGATAAAGAGCAGGGCTGGTCCGCGCACGAGTCCCCCTGGTCGTCGTGGTCCTCGCCCGAGCAGTGGTAGAACAGGCCCTTCACCAGGCACATGCAGGTGCCGTGCTCAAGGGCGCTCTGGGCAGAGCACAGGCACTGGCCGCCGCACGCCAGGCAGGAGGGAAGGCTCCGCGGCGCGGTGCAATCCGCGCATTTGCATTTCGCGCAACGCTCGCAGATGAACTGGTGCCCGGCGGAGCCCAAAGGCATCCCTAAACTCTCCACCGACTTCCCGTTCCCTATACCGGGGCTCTCCAACGACTTCCCGTTCCCCGGGGTTTTCACCAAGTCCCCAACGGGGCTCTGGAAGCTATGCGAAATGGCCTTGGGTTGAGGTTGAGTCCGAACAGGGACGTTCCGGTACTTCTGGTTGCGGTTGTTCTGCTGTTGGTTGTGTTGGTTGTGTTGTTGGTGGTTGTGTTGATGATTGGGGGGTTGTGGACCCGTTGGACCCCTGTGGTGGTGGTTGTGGTGGTTTCGGTGGTGGGGGGGGCGCCCCCCCGCCAGGAGGCCCTGCTCCGAGGACCCGCTGGACCCGCTAGAAGCGCTCCCCGAACTGGTCGACCGACTGAGTCCCGGCTGGGAATGCTGGGAATGCTGGGTATGGTGGGAGTTTAGGGGGTTTAGGGCGTTTAGGGGGTTCCCGGGTTCGTAGTTGTTGTTCACGTTGACCAGGATGACTTCGTGAGTCCTTTCCTGTTTGTCCCGGGGGTTCGTGGTGGTGTTTCGGGGCCTCCGGTTGGCCACTGAGGGCCCCTCCGTGTATTCATTACTGGAGCGGATGGCCTTGATCTGCTCCAGAGACAGGATGTGCTGGAGCTCCCGCTCGTAATAATCCGACCGCTGCCGGCGGCCATTAAGGGACGGCTGCTGCTGGACCACCGCCAGGGGCCCGCCGGGGCCAGAAGGAGTCTGGAGATCCATGTGGGGGGATCACCACTGCCGACATTCACCGGGGACACGCATCGGAAAACCTGCAAAACAAAGGAAAAAAGACGGGGATCAGACCAAATCTGACAAGAAAACATGGAGGCTCAAACAGCGCAAACAACAAACAACAAACAGCACAACAATGGCCACTGGGCCCAAACTTGGAGCATATATCTATATCTATACACACATTATGCTTATTTTAACTTTACTATTTGCAGCTGCAGCTGCTTCTGTTTTAGTTTAGTTTAGTTTTATTAGGATGCCAAAATAAATGGCCACTAGTCTTCCTGGGGTCCTCACATGAAGAAGTTCCGTTACATTATGAACAAACCTTAGGGAATAAGAGGAACATGAAAAAGAGTAGAAATCTGACAAGAAAACATGGAGGCTCCACACACAGGACCAATCCCACCATTACAAACAGCACAACAATGGCCACTGGGCCCAAACT